TTGACTTGGATTACATTTCCCTCAATCGCTCTTGTAAGTATATTTTGAAATAGCCTGTAATTTTTAACTCGTTAAAGTTTATTTTGTTGACTTAATTAACTCAACTGAGTAGCTATCTCTAATTTTTCTAGTTATTTTTACTAAGTATATGTGCTATGCAATTAATTTATCAATTATTTGTTGCTTTGTTTTTACTCTTGAAATCGTGTCTTGAATATACTTAATTTGCTAACTACAGGTTTATTTTTTACTTAATAATAATTATCATCATTGAAACCTGTGCATTATTTTCCTGCAGTTTTTAATTGTGATATCCTCATATTTTATGACTTGATTAAATATTATTAAATTTTATTTAAGCTTATTTGTTTAATTGATTGTATTTCTAATTTTCTCCTGGCACCCAAAGGTGAGTCAATATATTCCACATTCCAAAATTTAAGTGGGCTTTAGATCTTATTGCTAACGAATATGGAATTTTAGTTCCTAAGCGAAATTCACCATTTGTTTTTTACTTAAATCAGTTGTCAATGTTGATGCTAAAGTATAGATATGAAGAGTAACTGGATTTTTATGATTTTCCTGACATAACACTATTGCTGGGACTTTCTTTTTTTATGTAAGTGTATGAAGAAGAGATTCAGAGGTCGATCTCATCTGAAGAGGACGGTTGAATCCCATTGTATTACAACCGTTTGGCTTTTATGCGAAGTTGAGATTAACACAGTCCACGAAACCTCCTTCTTTTCGGCTGAAAACGGGCTGAGCTTTCGTCCATCAGATGGTGTGCTTCATTAGAGCTAGGACTCATTCTTGTAAAATTCTCAAGTTAACACTAAGACGAATATTATCCGGCTCTATCTTATATAGTCTCATTTAAGCAAAGTAGAATTTAAAAGGCATAGATCGATATAGAATCGTTTTGTTAGTTATCTTTATTCTTGTCAGATTCTTTTGGTTGGCGGATCAACATCTCTCTTTCAATCTATCAATCAAGCATAAGTAGTCCCTATTCAACTTTCTACCACCGTTACTCACATTGAACGTATTTCCTTATCTATTAATTTCAATCGCCTCCTATCTTTATTTTAACCGCATACGTAACATAACCAGCGAACGTTCTAGTTCGAACCATTCTATTACATGTCCAGTTTCTGCCATGTACTTGGCCACCTCTGACCGTTGGGCCCAGCTTCCTTTACAAGCTTTGTTGTCTTCCCATAATCTCTGTCGAATAGGTCAGCATATCTCATCAACATAAGATCGACCACATGAGCAAACAATCTTGTAGCAGCCGGATTTCGATAATTAATCATATTTTTATACAAAAGATGGCATAACAGAAGAAATTTTGAGGGTATATTTTAACACTGTTTTTATCCTCCACTTCCTTACTAATACTCCCTTTTTTTCAAGCAGACATGACGGTAAAATTAGGACAGGAGAAAGGGTCTCAGCTTGTCTATCTTCAACTAAATGGTCTCCGTCTGAAAATTTATATCTTGGTTAAGTGGTATTTTTCTCAATAAGGCCCTACGGATAATTATTTTTAAGGAATAAACTTGTCAGCCGTTCCAACTCTTTAGTTTAATGCTTGCTATCCGCTAGCCTCATCCTGCTAATAATCATTGCCTTCAAAATTCCAACCTTACTGTCGTAACTATGGTTGGAAAGATAATTAAGCAGAACCAACATATTTTGGCTTTCTTTAAAGATCTCTTCCTAACTCACCCTTTTGCTAATGATGAAATCATCTATAAAGGGTAAGGACTTATTCTCTTTTATTTCCATTGTGAATCTATTGTTCCTTTCATGTTGGTTGAGACAAAGTAGGAAACTATCGAAACTCTTTTTATGATGAGGACAGATGACAAAATAGTCATCCAAATCGCTGACCAACAATTTGGGGGGTTAGTATTGCCTCTTCAGGAAGTGTTCCTCGAGTCTTGCTATATACTTGTTCACCAACATGGGAACCAGGCAAGATCCCATCGCTAGTCCTCGATTTTGTTCGTATAACATACCATCGAAGGTAAAATATGTTACTAATTGATAAGTTAATAAGTCAATCACAATAATTATGGAAGCTATACTTAGCCTTATTCCTTGTGTTATCTCTGGATGCTCCTCGATAGCTTGAATAGCTCCTTCAACAGGGATGTTTTTGTACGTAGACACAACATCAAAACATACTAACCTATCCTCCTCTGAAAGTGTCTGATAATCAAGCAATTTTACAAATTCATAAGAATTCTTAACTGTTTGTAGCCAAAAATTGGCAGTTTTCTTTAGTTGTATGCATAAAAAACGTGAGATTTTATGCATCACACTTCCTTTATTATTTACAATTAATCTTAGAGACACCCTACCTGTCAGTCTTAGGGACATCGTAAGTCGTGGGGGCCCTTTTATCTCTGAAATATGGAATTCATTTTCCACTTCTCCATTTCGCCATTACTTACGCATACCTTAAGGGCATCTTTTAGACTAGTTTTCAGTTATTCTGTTGTATCTCTCAGTAAAGGCATATATGTTTTAGTGTAATTTAAATGAACTAATCTTTTTTCTTCTTAATTTGACTTGTCCATCACTACTATTGCTCCACCTTTACCAGTTTTCATAACGATTAAATTATTATCGCAGATATTTAGATATACTAATAAGAGGACAAGTTTCTTTTGCTGATTTGAATGCTCAAAATGAGAGATTACTTCCAGTTCAATACTATTCCCTATATCTTCGTTTAATCTATCAGATTAGCTACTTAACTCAAAAAGTATGTCCAGACCTTGGTTTACCTCATTTGTAAGAGCAATAGTCCATCCTTTTCCCAATAAAACTTCCACACTATCCTCCAGAATTATACACGATAAATTGATGACCTTTTCCTTCTTCATTCTGTAACGAACATGTTTACTGCGATATACATTAAATATAAAGTTTCTATACCTAATTTTAATTTCTAAATTCCGGATTTTCTTATGTATCCGCCGAGTCATTCTGCCAGTCACCTCTCCTAACGCGTCAATCTCAACGTTGAATAAAAGCCAAACGGCTGCAGTACAATGGGATTCAATCGACCTTCGAATCTCTTCTTCATATATTCTCCTACAAAATAAAAGTCCCAGAAATGATGCAAAATTGGTCCATGCTCCTTTACTCCCACTATGTATCTTAATTGAGAAAGGCCTGTCAGCCTTTAATCATTTACCTAGAGGCAATGCTACATTCTGCTAGTTTATGGTTCTGTTTTAATCCATTTAAAGGTGTAGGCATGAGTGATCCCAAAATTGCGAGCCACTCCGGATACAACTTGGTGACAAGCTCACCCCTTTTTACTGATTCAACATTAGTGAATAATATTTGTCGATCGATAAGGAGATTTTGCACTTTATTCTTCTAAGGGTTTCTAATAAATTTATTAGCTATTGATTTATATGCCTCGATTCTGTTCAGGCAGTTCTCGCCATGGAATTGGCTCGCGACTTGATTCCCGTACATCCCGCATTCCTGGCCGGGTCGAACGCCGAGTCGCACCTGGTCTATCTGCCTGTCATTCTGTCTCAGTTGAAGCTCCACCCCCCCGAATTCTCAGCAGGGGTACTGCACTACCCCGCGAGCCAGAGAAAGGTCCAGAAGATGCAAATGTCAACAAGACCTCGTCTATATCCCCATCGGACTCAAAATTTGCTGTTGATGTCCCCTCTGTCACTGATGCTGACATTTCCCGCTGCATTGCTGACGTTAAACCTATTTTAGGTGACCCTAACCTTCAGTCTCCTTCATCTACAGCTAGTCCGACATCAAAAACTACCTTATGTGATGTTCATGCTTCAATCGCCTATTCCAAGACTGCTGATTGTGTCACATCTACCAGTTGTGATGACCCTCACTCTACTTCAGGGCAAGGTTCTAGCGCGGAGGTAACCTTATCTCCGTCCAGTGACATGGCACTGGCACATCTCCATCTTCTGCAGCATTGTCTTGTCCATTTGGGTGATGTCGCTAGGTAATCATGAGATTCGTTTCTATTCCAAGTGCCAATTGCGCTTATTTAGCCGTATAGTTTCCTAAGATTCTCTTTAAAAGCCATTTTACTTAATATTAAATATGTATTTTACACCTACCTATTGAAGTAACCTAGCATGTAATCTTACGACTCTTGAGAATCTGTTAAACTGAAAAAAAATG